CCCCAAAGTGAGACCCAGGGAGGGGCATTATCAGTATGTGGGTATAACAATGTGCTTTTCTTCCTCTTCCCCAAGCCCCTGGCAAAACCTGACATTAAGATCACATTGCCAGCATTTTAATGTTTTAAATGTAGTCAGCATCCTAATACTGGCAAACCACTCGCAATACTAGGAGTAACACAAGATCCCCCTCCTGTAAGTAATTTTCTATCCCACTGCCCCTTGTAGTCCTTTAGTAATCATCACCAGCTTCCATGGTCTTCTCTGTGTGTTTATCTTCTGACTCCTCCACCGCCACTGGAATGTAAGGACCCTTGAGGGAAGGTCTTTCCCACCTCTGCACCTCCAGAGCACTCCTCAGGGCTGGGTGTGCAGCAGCCTCAGAAGTGATGGCAAGTGAAAGGTACAGGAGACACAGCAGAAGGCATCCGAATCATTAGGCTGGCTGGGAGAAACTCAGAGTCAACGCTGACAGACACTCAGGCACTGCGGTATCTGAAATATGGAACGCATTGTGACTGCATGGTGAAAAACCAAAAGGAACTTCTGAATAAGTATTCCAAGTAACAAGTTCAGTCAGATGGCTGGATATAAGAAATGCAAAAATTAGAATCTTGTTTTTTATCAATTCGATGATAAAACAGACAACTGCCCACCCCCCAATATAAGCCTCAGATTTCACCAGAAATTATAAAGTAGCAGAATGAATTAACAGGACACAGGACACACACAGAGCTACGTGAAGAGAAGCGTTAAACTTTACTGAGAGACACATAATGAGTTTGAATAAATTGGGAAAGAATTACTTTCTTTGATAAGAACCTCAATACAGTTAAGATGTCAGTTTCTCCACAATTAATTCAAAGATTAACAGCAATGCCAATTAAGAGTCACAATGAGATGATTTTTAGGGGGAAGGAGAAGGCTTCAGGTTACCCGGAAGTTTTCTGGAAAAAATAAACGGGCAGAAATAGACAAGAAAAACTATAAAATAAAAGAGCAATATGAAACCATGTTGTATGTTATATCACCAGATATAAATTGAGCCATGAATCTAAGACCGTGTGGTAAATCCACATAAGGTAAGACAATGTGGAGAAAGCAGGTCAACGGTATACATTCTTAAGCCCAGAAACACAGCTAATTTGATTAAATGAGTTAGTTGGACAGTAAAGATGACAAATAGAATCAACAGGAAAAGGAAATAACACAGAGAGAAAAGTCAGTTATGTATCTGAATAAAAAGTTTAACTAGATTTCCTATTGCATAAAATAGACCCAACAAATCAAAGGTGGATTAAAGATTAAATATAAAAAATGGGAAACAGAACAATAAAATTATAAAACTCAGAAGTACATAGATACGAACTCTGATCTTATTTCAGGATTATTAAAGGCTTTCTAAGCATCAAAAGTAGAAATCCTAGAAGTACAAGTCTTATGATTTGATTATATACTAAAGAGGGAGAACCTCTATATGTAAACAAGACCATAATATTTAAAAAGGAAATAGTAAACTGGGGAAATGTATTATAGATAGAGTATATATGCAAAATATATTACAAAGTGCTAATATCCTTAATATACAAAGAGTTCTTACCTATCAATAAGAAAAAGACAAGCAGCCAGTACAACAACGCGCAAAGGATACATCTGAACAGTTACAACACAAGAAACACACGTGACCGATAAACACATGAGATGTTCAACTTCGCTATTAACTGAGAAATGCAAATAAGTAAAACATGAGATATTTCTATTGCTTATTAGATTAGCATAGATTCTAAAAATGATACTCAATGTGCAGAGGTGAAACAGCCACTCGCTTTATGGATGGAAGGGAATCTTATATAAAACCTTTCTAGAAATGAACTTGGGAATATGTACCAAGAATCTTATAAATGTTCATGTACATTGATTAAGTCACTTCACCTGTGGACTTTTATTCTAAGGCATTAGTAAGTCTTATGCACAAGGATTTAGGTACAAGCATGTCTCAGGTCTATGTGAAAGAAGTTACTGGAAGGGAAGGCACAAACATTGATCTAACTCACTAACACTGACACAGAAAATGAAGGAAAAAGAGAAAAAGCATAAAAAGCAGCAAACATGCCCAGTGCATCCAAAGCCCTGTAAAGCAGCGGCAGAACCCAAATGTCCCTCGGGTGAAGGAAGGTCAGGTAGCATGTTAAGCTCTTTGGCAAATCGCTCTAAAACCACCAACGCTTATTTTTAGCTAAACGTCGTCACTTCAAAGTGGCATCGAAGTACTTCGAATTAAATTTGCTGTGTTGGAATTTTTCACGTGAGAGAGCTCTACCAACCACAGACTGGAGGTCACTCCTGCTGGACAGCGGCCACCGACGTCACCTGCACGCACGCCGCAGTGAGGGCGCCACATCCCTGAGCGCTGCTGTGACCATGAGGCACTGTCTTTCCCCAGAGTGGGGCTGTGCTCCGGCCGATGTCACAGTCCCACTTCCAAGTCCCTACTTGTGATCCAAAGAAGACAAAAAATCTACTAGGCTCCCTCAGTGGGGATTTGCCTGGCTTAGGGGTGACAGGATGTGCTGTCATAAACTGAGGGTGTGACCCTGGAAAGGAGATTTCAGTGGTGCCCCAAACCCTCCCATTCACCACCAGCAAGAATCTTAAAGACTCAATTGGGCATTGAAACCTCAGTCCCTCAGCCAAGGCCTCGACATAACCTACCCTGGGGACATGATGAAGTTTACATGGCATTTTGTATTTTCTATTTGTTATCAAACGTCACACTTTCCTTAGGACAGGAAGTGGCAGTTAAGCCCCAAAGAATATAAATCTCAAGAAAATGTTCAAACTCCAGATCTTGCAGATCCACCCTTCTTCAAGTCATCGGGACTCTGCCCTCATCCTACGTGCCTGGTTAAGTTTCCATCCTTTTTTCACACCCAGCACAGGCATCCTCCAAGCCTCGAAGCCTTGCCCCACCCTCTGGAGCAGTGCCAACCACACCACCCGGGGGCCTGACACCCCCTCACGCACCCCAGCTAGGAGCTCACTGACTCGTCTGCCCTTCCCTCCTCCCACAGGGTGAGACTCCTGACCACAGGGATCACGTCTTCCTCCCGTGTGTCCCCAGAGCTCAGGACTCTAACTGGCACATGTTAGAAATTTCATAAATGTTTGCTAACTTGAATAAATACATGGACAGATGCGACGTGATGCATTAGAAGGCAAGTGGGGAGTTAGCTGGTTGTAAGGTGACTGCCTTGTGTGCAAGTTCTGGAGATCAGGGACTTTAACACCCACAGCAGGCACCATTTTAGGCACAGAAGACTTGCTCAATAAGCATTTTTTGATAAAAAATAAAGAAAGAAATGAAGACATCAGCATTTCATTCACAACAGAAAAAGTTTTTTCTTGGGCACTTCTCTCTCTCCCCACCCCACCGAGTTAGCACATCAGCCAGAAAAGGAAAATGCACGTATCTCTTGGAGGGAAGGTCAGCCGGTCACGGGACCAGAGGAAGTAAACTTACCGCCTTTCTGCAATGAACTCACGTCTCTGTTACCGGACAGCCCCAGCTGTGTTGTGATGAGTAACAACAGCTGACGTTTGGATGGTGCGTTATGAGTGTCCTCAGCACCATCATGTTATCCCACCTGTCACCACGTCTCTGGGACACAGGCAGGCCAGGCACGATCAGCCTAATGTGACCGTGGTCCAGCTACCTGCCCAACGCCATGAGCTCCGGGCAAGAGGACCCAGGCTGGGGGACCTCAAATTCTGTCTTCTTTTTCTTACCCTGCTTTTCCCAACCCACGTCATTCACGGAATGGTGGGGCCAGCATCACTCCACTTTCAAAGCATTCACCATTTTGGAAAGGAAAAAATGGGGCATCTTTAAGAAGCAGAGACATATGCTAGGAACGAGTACAGAACAGAAATGGACTTTGAGAGGATCTGAGGCAGGCTGGACAGAAGAAAGGGGCTGTCTGCTGGAGGAAACAGCACATCTGCGCAGGGGGTCCCCACGCTGAAGGGGGCTGAGTTTGCTGGTGCGAGGACGCAGGTGGCTCCCACCACCTCTTCTCTGATCAGCGATTACAGGAAGGTGAAAGCGGGACACGATTCGCCAAGACTCAAAAACAAACCACGACGCTCCGAGGGGCCTGCGTCACACACCGAGGCCAGGAGCTTCTCAACACTATCTGAGCAAACACTAACTCTCTCTGATCCTGAACGAAAAACCAATTCTCCTTTAAAAGAGAATAAAGAAAACCAAAGTTGTGTTAAAGAACAAACAGGTATGATATAAAACTCAGAGAAGTTTCCAGTGATTTCCTGTAAATCTTGCTCCAAATGGCTTTTCCTGTTTTCTACACACAGTCACGACAAGTGAGTTAATACTAATCCTGGACATTTTAACAATTAATTCACTTTTTTTTTTAAAGAAGTTGCTTAAATCCTCCATCACATGTAAAACTTGGCTCTCAACCTCCCAGCCCTGGAAGGTCCAGCGGCTTGCGCAGCTGGGACTCAAGAGTGCCACGGTTTGCGTGTTGGCAGTACGGAGCCCAAGGATGTAGAGGAAACCATTGTCCACAGGAGGAGAGACTTCTCAGCCACAGCCTACGACGCAGCGTGCAAGTCTCCACTTAACCCCCGAGGCCCCGCACCGTCCTCCAGCCAGCACGCCTGCC